TGTGTGTGTGTGTGTGTGTGTGTGTGTGTGTGTGTGTGTGTGTGTATGTGTGTGTATGTGTGTGTGTGTACCACAGCCCATCTGTGGAGGTCAGAGAACAACTTCTTGAGTCTGTTTCTCTTCTCCCACCATGTGGGTTCTGAGGATCCAACGCACATCATCAGGCTTGGTGACAAGTCCCTTTACCCTCTGAGCCCTGGGTCCAACACCATTATTCTGTAAGACTGTGTCTTATCATCTACCTACCTGATACACCCTCGTATGACAGCAACGATTACAAAAAGCGGATCTTCTCTGAAAGAGACAGGTAGCTGCCTTCCTGAAAAACATTCTGAAGATGGTCGTCAACCTTGAGTAAGCACTAGAGCGCACATTTTGAAGTCCTCTGTCGATCCACTTCGATATTGACAGGGCAGACATGGCAAGGTAGGCGGTCACGTGTTTCTCTAGAGAAAGCAAGCCAGTTTTTCCGATGCCCCTGAAAAAGTCTTCTGTGGGTCTTGGTGCGTCTGTGTGGTCTCGTGGCGTGTGTGACGCTGTCTGGGGCTGAATAGGATCTTCTTTTGCACAGCTGTGGAATCGTGGGGTGTGCAGTCCCCTGAAATCAAATAGTCTAATGAAAAGAACTCTGTCATGGGGGCTGGTGGGGCTGCTCGGTGGTTAGAGCACTGACTGCCCTGGCAGAGGACCTGGGTTCGATTCTCAGCATCCATGTGTTGGCTTATAACTCCCATCTCAGGGCATCTGACCCGGCCCCCTCTTCTTAGTTCCATGGACAGGAGGTGTGCCTGTGGTACGCCAACATACATGCAGACAAAACACTCATACACATAAATATAAATTTAAAAAATGAGTCTGATAGTCAGGGTTCAAAGTCAGTTTTGAACAAAGGTAAACTAATGGAAAGTGACTCAGAAATGATTTTTATTTCCCTCTTTTATAGTCCACCTGAAAGCCTAACCTCGGAGGACAGTTTGGAGCTCTTTCTGGATGACGAGACACTGGAATTTGATCTGGTAACAGACTGTGTTTCCTGAGTCCAGCTGTATGTGGTCTACATGCTCATTCATTTCTTCTGAAATCGCCTATTCCAAACATATCACAAACTTTCCCTAAGGAACTATGACATGATACTGTTCTCAGATCCTGTCTATTCCCAATCTTTGTCATCAAGCCACCTATGAAACATATGTAAGAAGATAATATGCCACCCCTTCTAAGGGTGAAGCAGGAGAACCATAGATTTCAGGCCAAGAAGCTGGATGTGACAGAGCAGACTTGTAATCCCAGCACTTGGGAGAAAAAAGCAGGAGGCTGGGCGGCCCCAGCTCATTCTCACATATTTAGGAAGTGGGAGGCCAGCCTAGCCTACAAGAGACGCCCGACTCCATAACACAAAACCAAAGTGACAACAAAATTCAAGGCCAGTTTGGGCTACATAGTGAGTTCCAGGCCAGCCTGAGGGACAACAGTGAGGCCCTGTCTCAAAAACAGAAAGGGAATCATCTCGAGCAGACGTATAACCAAACCCGTCCTATAACAACTCCAGCTCTTAGATGCTTATCATGGCGTGGACTGTGTGGGTGTTTAAGTGTGCCAGTGTGTGAGCACACGCGGGCCTGTGCACTCCATTCTCTTGACTGAGACTAGGTTCCTGACTGAATCTGGTGCTCACCCAGCCAGCTTGCCCTGGGAGATCCCGTATCTCTACCTCCCAACCACTAGGAACACAAGGGGGGAGTGTTGGGGGCGGGGAAGTGGGGTGGCTGCCACACTCACCTGTCTTTTACACGTGTCCTTTACACTCTGGGTCCTTTACACTCTGGTTCTCATCCTTGCACACCAAGTGCTTCATCCACTCGGCTAGCTCGCCAGCCCAGGATTTGTTTTCGTTTTGTTGGGTAAGCAGAACCACAAAAACTCCCCCCGCCAAGCAACCCATTATTGCTGCAGAACTGACTGGGAGCTTGCCTCAACCTGAATGCAATCGCAAAGGCTGGGGAGTGATTTTAAAAAGAAACAAATCAGGGAAGGGCTAGAGAGATGGCTCAGAGCGCTGGCTGCTCTTCCAGAGGACCCGCGTTCAATTTCCAGCACCCACCTGTGGCTCACAACCGTCTGTACTGAGAGCTGATGCCCTCTTCTGTCCTGCAGGCAGACATGCAGATAGAGCACTCAGAAACATAAATAAACCTTAAAGAAGAAAACAAACCCAGCAAACACCCCCCCCCATTATTACCCAGGGCATACCTTACTCAGGTCACCCTGCTTTTAAAACTGCGTTCAAACACATGTTTGTCCATCTTAGCATTTTCGGTGTGCAATGCAGCAGTGTTGACCATACACACCCCACTGTGGGGCAGATTCTACAAGATACCCTCATCTTGCAAACCCGAAGCACTGTGCCCATCCAACACCCCCTCCGACCTCCACCTCCTGGCAACTAACTGTCTTTCCACTTCCTGTTTCTAAGAGACTGGCTATGAAGTAAGCGGGTTGTACACTATTGGTCTTTTCTCTGTGTGTGTGTGTGTGTAGGGGGGGGGGCGCCAGGGGAGAGACTGGGCTCTTTCACTTAGCCTAATAATCCTCAAAGCTCATTTAACCCAGGCAGTGGTGGCGCACACCTTGAATCCCAGCACTCGGGAGGCAGAGGCAGGCAGATCTCTGTGAGTTCAAGGCCAGCCTGGTCCACAGAGTGAGTTCCAAGACAGCCAGAGCTACACCGAGAAACTCCATCTCGAAACAAACCAGACCAAAAATGCTCATTGAAATGTCAACCTAGTGGAGCTGGGGAGCGAGCTCAGTAGGTACAGTGCTTACAAGCAGGAGGACTTGATTTCCAGTCCCCGAACGCGTTACAAAAACAAAGAAACCAGGCATGGAGCTGTGTGCTTATAACCCTAACATGTGGGAGGCAGAGACAGGCGGATTCCTGGGGCCTGCGGGCCAGTCAACCTATCCTACTTGGTGAGCTTGAGGACTGCGAAAGATTTTGTCTCAAAAAAAAAAAAAAAAAAAAAAAGCGGGTAGTGCCTGAGGAACCCCATCTGAGGTTCTCCTCCAGCTCCAACACACATGTGCACTCACACCGGCACACACATGCTCACAACCATCCAAATGTACTGTAGAAGACGGTCTCCTTCTTTAGGCTGAATAACGTTCCATTGTGTGGATACTGTACTGTATTTCCTTGTTCACCCATCTATATTTTTATTGCTTCTGTGTCTCAGCTACTGGAAGTAACAATAACACATTATATTAATATATAAGTCATCTTTGAAAATGCTTACTTAAAGTAATATGATTCTTGTTGTTGTTGTTGTTGTTGTTGTTTGTTTTTTGTTTTTTGAGACAGGGTTTCTCTGTGTAGCTTTGGTGCCTGTCCTGGAGCTCACTCTGTAGCCCAGGCTGGCCTCAAACTCACAGAGATTCTCCTGCCTCTGCCTCCCGAGTGCTGGGATTAAAGGCAGGCGCCACCACCAATACTTATTTTAAAAATCCAGAGCCTATCAAGTAATTAGCACTGGGAGGAAATGGAGCTCCATCCGTTTCCTGTCTTTCCTTCCTCCCCTTTCCTGCCCCTCTCTCCTCTACTGCTGTAGTCTTTATCCTTTCTCCCCCACTTTTCCTCGCTCATCTTTCTCTCCCCACACCCCGAGTCATCACTTACTGTTTACCATCTCTCCCCGGGAACAAGGTGCGGCTCCCTTACAGTTCTCTCTGCCTCCCTCATACTCTAGTGTGGATTCTGAACATTTCCAAAAGCTTCTGTGAGGTCCCCAGTGCTGGGGGTGGGGGTGGGGAGGGCGGCGGAACACTGCTGCCGACCACGTGACATCTGCAGGGCTGTAACGTCTTGGGAATGGGGCCTAGTGGAAGGAAGTCCTGTTTTGGGGAGTGTGTTCTTGAAAGGGGATGGGACCCCCGGTGTCTTTCTCTCTCTCTACCTCTTGGCTACTGTGACGTGAACAGGCCTCCCCCACGTGATCCTGCCACAGTGTACTGTGGCATCATACATCTACAATACTACAATAGTCCCTGAGCAAAAATAAATTATTCCTCCTTAGAAGTAGATCTTCTCAAGTACTTTGACATGTGCGTGTGTGCTTGTGCGTGCGTGTGTGTGTGTGTGTGTGTGTGTGTGTGTGTGTGTATGTGCGTGCGTGCGTGTGTGATCAGCTCCCTCCCTACATTGTCTAGACAGGTCACATGAACACAGCCGTGAGACCCTTCTCTTCACTATTGGTTAGATACCGGAGATTTACTTCAACGAGCCAGAAGAGTTGCTCTGGGTCCTCAAAGAGCTAGAGGAACAGAATCTCACCTTGGTCCAATATTCCCAAGACGTGGATGAGAATCTCGAAGATGTCAACAAGAGAGAGAAATGTATACAGGATAAGATGTGAGTACATTTCTCCTATTCAACAATCACTAACCAGAGGCCACATCCAAATCACTTGAGATGTCTCTTCTCGTGGTTTAGGCCAGGGCATTAATTAAAAATGAGTTACATGATGGGCATAAAAAAGGTAGAATTTACATTTGCACAGAGTAGGTCCTGATGCTACACTCTGCTGATTTCTGTTTGGGTCTTGAGAGAATCCACAATAGCAGAGAAAGGGAAGAAACCATCTTCTGATGGAAGTTAAAGCCTGCATTCAGGCACGTATTTGCCTAGTTGTAACTTGAGTGTAGACCTGAGGAAATGACTCAGGATAAAACAGTCATTGAACAAGTCCCTGAGCAAGCATGAGGGACTTGAGTTCAAATCCCATAACCCACATATAGCGCGTGCGTGCACACGTGCACGCGCGCACACACACACACACACACACACTTGCTGGGTGCCGGGTACTGACATATGCCCAGTAAGGACCGAGTCCCTCAACCTCGAGCTGCAGACAAAGGTCCCCTCTTTTTGCCACAGAAACAACAACATTGAGTTCCTGATGGAACACAAGGAGATGCTTAAGGCGAACTGTGAGCGGGAGGAGGAAAAGGCAGCGGAGCTGGAGCTGAGGTCCAGGCTCTTCAGTTTTGGAGAATTCAATTCGGAGGCTCAGGTACATTCTTGACCTGTGGTGACTTTCTCTCCTGGTGATGGGCCTCCCTGTGCACTGAGCGCTTAACAGGGGGAGTTAAGGCAATCCACAAACGGTTGACAGGAATTGAAAACCAGCTTGGAATTTTGCCAATATGAGAGAGTCAATTCCCTGGTTAGGAACCATTTTATATTGACCTTGGGGTTCACGTGAACTGGTGCTGTAGTTATTTCAAACTACATTTCTTTGTCGGTGGATGGTGCCAGTAAGACTGTGAACCCACACACTTAACATGGAATGGACAATCCGCCCAGCACTGAGTCTAGACAATGTGTCTACTTCTATGGGCCCCAAGAGACCGACTCATTTCCCAGCACTGTGACACATCCTAATTACCCTAATCTGTTGACCAGCCCATCTCTCCCAGCTGGATGCAAACCCCTCCACACAGGGACTAGTCTGTTAATGAGCTCAGTGTCCTCAGAGTGTCACTGCTCAATAAATGTCTGTTGAATGAATGAATGGTCAGGGTAGTGTTCAGATCCACAAGAAACTTCAGCTACCATTGGTTTCTTGGAAAGACCTCAAATGAAGTAAGGAGCCAAAGCTGCTGTGTGGGACTGACATTACATACACGATTGTGAATCTTGACTCTTTTAGACAGAGGTAGATTGCGGACCGGGCTGCATTAGAAAACAGGCAACCATCCACTCCTGCCTACATTACTCAAAGCCAAAGTTGTTTGTGGCTGCTAGGCACATGCATGGCCTAAGGCATGACAGCATGACGTCTTAGAGCTATGGCAGGAAGTGTTTTGATTCTAACTTTAGTCAACCATGTGGTACAATACACTCAAAACCTACCACCTAACTATTCGAGTGTGCAACTCAATGGGATTAAGGACATTCATGGGGCATAACTGTGACCACAGTCTATTTCCAAAACCTTTCCATCCCTTAAGCGTAAGCTTTAATATCTTAACCACTTTTTGAATGTCCAGTTTGGTGGTGTTAAATACATGCACACTGTCTTGCAACCACTCTCAAGAATGCCTTTCAGCTTGTACAAGAAAAGCTGCCTACCCATAAACACCCATTCCCCTCCCTTCCCCTCCCACATGAGCTTTTTGTCTCTGAATGTGACTCTTCTGGGTATCTTGTGTAAGTGGATATATACAACACATGTCCTTTGTCTAGAGCTCATATTACAAAGCATAATGTTCTCCGTATTCATCCACATTGTGGCACGCATCAGAATTTTGCCCTTTTTAAGGCTAAATAATATTCCATCCTGTGGACTATACTTTGTTTACTCATTCATCTGCTGATGGACACAGGTTGTTTCTATCCTTCAACTCTTAAATAATTCTGAAGCTGACCGCCCTGTAAAGTAAAAGATAAATTATTTGTAATATTTAACAGTACTCACACCTCAACAAAACCCCTCTAATCTCAGTGTAGGGATATATATATATATATATATATATATATATATATATATATATATATATATATTCAATACTTTTAAACATTGTGTCAACTAAGAGAAGGGAGGATCTAGTTGTGAAAGGTCCAGGGCTCAACGCCCAGATGGTAGGAGAACTAAGAACTGGTTTGAAAATTCCTTCTTAAGATGATCCACAAAATAACAGTCGCAAGTATAAAACAGGCACTCACACAGAATTTGTAGGCACTCTCTGGAGCTAGTAACTCATGGTCTTCCAAAAATATGAAGTATGGGATATGGAAGAAGGGGGAAACAATTGAAAAATTTAGGGAAGTGGGGTTTTTGTTTGTTTGCTTTTGAGACAGGGTCTCATTATCTAAAGTTGGCCTCAAACTATGTAGCCGAGGATGGCCTTGGGTTTCTCCTCCTTCACTTCCCTTGTGAGGCTGGAATTACAAGCATATGCCACTCTGCTGTTCCAGGCAGTTCTTAGGTACCTCTCATGCATGCTAGACAAGCACTGGACCAAAGCTGTACCCCCTAGACCCTCAAATGATTCCTCAAATTCTTCAAAGCTTAAAATATACAAAACATAATCCTTTATGACTAAAGATCCATTCCAGCTGGGCAGTGGTGGCGCACGCCTTTAATCTCAGCACTCGGGAGGCAGAGCCAGGTGGATCTCTGTGAGTTCGAGGCCAGCCTGCGCTACCAAGCAAGTTCCAGGAAAGGCGCAAAGCTACACAGAGAAACCCTGTCTTGAAAAAAAAAGGGGTGGGGGGGCTGGAGAGATGGCTCAGAGGTTAAGAGCACTGACTGCTCTTCCAGAGGTCCTGAGTTCAATTCCCAGAAACCACATGGTGGCTCACAACCATCCATAATCAGATCTGGTGCCCTCTTCTGGCCTGCAGTCATATATGCTGTATACATAATAAATAAATAAATCTTTAAAAAAAAAGATCCATTCCTAATTTTTACACCCCCACCCCCAGATTTATTGAGGACAATGTGGCACGCCTGATTTTGGTATCCATGATTAGGGACTTCAAACCTGTAACAATAAAATGAATATTTTTATTCTTTCAAAACTGCCACACTTACAAATGTATTCAATTCCTTAAAATGTTCTCCTGACTCAGTATTTTTAAAATAAAAATTTAAACTCCATTGACATCAAAAAACAGGTAAACCGTAAGTTTACCTCTTGAGGAATTTTCTCAAGTGAACGCAGTCCCCAGCAGCCCCCAGGTGAGGGACTAATCGACTACTACCAGAACCCACCCTGGATCTCTCCATTCTTCAAAGGTGATCACTGTTCTGAATTCTCACCATGGATTCGCTTTGCTGTTTTGAACTCTAGAGACAGAACCATGGCCTGTGTCTGTTTTTTTTTCCTCTCATGTTTGCGGGGTTCACCCACATAGTTTTCAGGCACAGTGGTTTGGTTTAGTGGCCTCGGGATGGAATGTTTGCCGAATGTGGTCATCTCTAGTTTTATGGGTGTGCGTGAGGAGCTCACAAAGTTGAGCTGGGAGGTGTAGAGACGTGGATTAGAAGTATGGACTCCTTGGAAGGAACACATGATGCCATCCAGACAGCTCTCGAGTTTGAAACACTGCTCTGGTCCCATCAGGGGCCTGTTTACTGTTGACAGGCATCTTATGTTATCTGGGTACTGTCTTTGATCCTTCTTCCTGCCCACCGCCTCCCCGGCTCCCCCCTCCACTCACTGAGATCCGCCTGCCTCTGCCTCTCAAGTGCTGGGATTAGAGGTGTGTGCGGCCACTGTCCAGTAATGGAGTCCCGTCCCATCCCCCTCCCCCAGACAGGGTTTCTCTGTGTAGCTTTGATTGTCCTGGAACTCACTCTGTGGATCAGGCTGGCCTGGAACTGACAATCTGCCTGCCTCTGCCTCCTGAGTGCGCCAACACTGCCCAGCCCTGACCTGTCTTTTAAAGCATTTAGGGAAAATAGGCCCTGGGTTCTCTCCCCAGCACTAAATGATGACATTTAAAGGACTTTTCACTGTTAACACTGTAGAGTGGAATTTTGTATTTATTGACAGTAAGCCCCCATATAGTGATGGAATGTTTTCTGCTCTTTCTTCTTGAGCTCAGGAAAAGCTGATAGACTCACTTAGTAAAAAGATTAACCAAGTATACAAAGTCTGCATCGGAGATGCTGAGGTTGGCAGCCTGAATGCAGTTCAAAAACTCGTGAAAGTAGAGTCTCGCCTGGTGGAACTGAGTGACCTCATTGAGTCTGTCCCCAAAGAAAACGTGGAAGCCATCAAAAGGATCAAACAGAAGGAACGGCGGCAAAAGTACTGTGACAGTCTCCTCCTCCGTCTCTTAAGTGGCTACTGTGTGTAAACCCCGCCCACGGTCAGCAAGCTCTGTGCGGCAAGCATTGCAGAGCATTGCAGTCAAGGGTCAGCCCACCCATCCCTGCCCTTCCCAGAGGATATTCTTGGGAAACGAGGGTGGTAGTGTCACAGTGGGTAATGAGCACTCCACACCAAAAGGGCTGGGAAAATAATTTACCAGGGACAAATGACCCAATTAGGACGGCCGTGGGGAAGCTGTCTCAAGTCATATGGACATCACTCAAGGGCTGTCATGTGTAGGAATTGCACTATGGTGAAGGTTCCAGCAGTGGAAGACCACAGGGCGACCTGGTGTCTGAAGGAATGGCCTGAAGTTCAGAGCTATACAGTGAGAGGTTTCCCCTGTGACAACACTTGGCTGGCACGCATACCCCCACTCATTTCTTCCCAGACAGCCTTACGGGACTGTCATCCCTGAAACCTCACCCCGATGGACTTCTACAAGTTAGAGATTTGCCTAGGCGTTTTGTTTAGAACTGTTATCACTATAACGTGGTTGCAGCTATCACATGGCACGTGGGGAATGCTGAATAAGTAGTCATAGTGTGCATGTTCTAGCCAAGGGAAACACACGGAGAGGCAGATGAACACTGTAGCTCCAGGTGGGACAGGTATGGGCGCGGAGCCTGCCTGCTTGCCCTTTTAGCTACAACTACTGTGACCTACAGCAGGGGACATCTGTCTAGACTATTTCATTTTTCTTTTTTCTTTTTTTAAGCAGAAGCTGTGATACTTACTTCCTAGGGTTGATGTATCAAATAATCGATGGAAAAGCACTGAGCAAGTCTGACACAGACTAGTAACTACTATTACTGTATTACTGTTGCACAGAGGGTTACTTATCAATTCTCATGTAAAAATGAAGGTGGTCAGATGGAGGACGACTCCTCCCAGATGACCTCAGTTTTTTATAGTCGCAGTCTTGAGAGTGCAATTACAACTTATTCTCAACAGTAATATGCATACAGTTCTGTAGCTAGAGTTTTCCTGCCTTGCCCACAGTCAGGACAAATCTCTCACCCGCCAGTCCCACAGCCGCTCAGACCCAACCAAGTAAACACAGAGACTTATATTGCATACAAACTGTATGGCCGTGGCAGGCTTCTTGCTAACTGTTCTTATAGCTTAAATTAATCCATTTCCATAAATCTATACCTTGCCACGTGGCTGGTGGCTTACCGGCGTCTTCACATGCTGCTGGTCATGGCAGCGGCTGCAGTGTCTCTCCCCTCAGCCTTCTGCTTCCCAGAATCCTCCTCTCTCCTTGTCCCACCTACTTCCTGCCTGGCCACTGGCCAATCAGTGTTTTATTTATTGACCAATCAGAGCAACAGATTTGACATACAGACCGTCCCACAGCACAGTTCCAGTTTTCAGAAGACCTTTTTCCCCATGGTTTAGATCGTAGTTCTCAACTTTTCTATTGTTGACGCTTTATACAGTTCATCATATTGTGGTGACCTCCAACCATAAAACCATTTCCATTCTTACTTCATAACTGTAATTTTGCTACTGTTATGAATTGTAATATAAATAATCTGATAAGCAGGCTATCTGATGTCACCCCTGTGGAAGGGTCTTCTGACCCCCACTTTGAGAACCACTGCACCAGGGTGATGTGCACACTTTCCTTAAAGAAACTTGACAGGCAGGCCAGGGAGGTGGCTGGAAGCTAAAGTGGCTGTGGTACACAGTGCTTCGGTGGGATGGAGAGGGGAAGACGTGGCCTTGCTTCTGACCACACTGGGAAGAGGTACTTCTCCAAAATGGTGAAATGAAATGTCTTTCCATTGCCAGAATATTCCAAAGCCATCATTATAGGAATCTTACACTTGGATAGTTCCTTACCAAACAACACAAATGTAGATGCTTTACTTTTTATAAGCTATAGAACTTCTGATAAGGTCCTCCTTGCCTACAACAGGTTGCGTGAAGAGAAGGTGAAAGAAAAGCAGAAGTACCAGGAGGAGCGGCTCAAAGCTGCTCTGGAGAGAGCAGTAGCACAACCCAAGAAGAAGGTTGGTTTTGGGCCGGAATAGGCCCCTGGTCCAGGCCAACATGAGAACTGTCCGGCCTCAAAGGCCATGTCCCTTCTGAGGCACACTGGGGATTCAGATCTCATGATCAACACAACATGGTAGTTCCCTCACCCATACACTAAGTCATAAAAATTCACCTGGAATTGCCAAACAGAAAACAAAGGGAAGGTACCCTCTAAAGAAGGGAGAGGTTTCCTTAAACCCTCCTAATGCAAACACTCCCAAGACTCAACACCACCACTGATGTTTAAATGGTTTTCTCAATAACGGCTCAACAAAGCACCTCTGGCAGCCATGGAGGAAGCCCACCTGAGGAATACAACATTAGTGTTCAGCACAGTGCTTTCTTAGCCAGTCATGTGAGCTACCGACTCCTTAACAACGTCCTTCTGTAAACCACTCCAATGACCAACAAAAGCCAAGTGCTGTCTTCTGTATTCTATGGGTGCTCAACTTGCCATGCATGTTGGTCATCGACAAGGTTCTATCAGTCTCCTGTAACTTTTACTATTTTAAACCATTTTATTCATGTAAAAATTCAAGTTAACATTGGTATTATACATACTGCAATAGAAAAGTTATGCCAAAAAGAATTATTTTGTTTTTCAGCTGGGAAGACGACTGGTCTACCGTTCGAAACCTCCATCTGCTAGCAAACAGGAGCTCCTTTTAGTCAGTGATACAAGAACAAAGTCACTGGAGGAAGAGTATTTCTTTAGCTGAACAGGAGCATGGAGAAATTGAATTAGCAAACGTTCTATGCGAATGTTGGCGTTCAGTGATGCAATACTGTCCTAACAAATTCCAGGAAGCAGACCTTTCTCCTGAAATTTGTAGGAGTAGGAATGGCAATTGTTTTCTTCTGCTAGAACTATTACTCACTGGTATCATTCCATTGTATTTTAAGATGTCCCCTTTGGATACACACATCCAAAGTCTACTCATTGATATAATTACACGAAGCATGACTTAGAGCAGAATGGCCTCCCTCAAAGCATGAGAATTTTAATCATATTTCTAAAGCAATAAGGAAATTCATGGCTATGAATATACATTCTAACAATGTACTATTCTTAGAACTGGACAGGTTTAAAAAGTACAAACTATAGACTATGGTCTCAGATCATGAGACTGGTAATTTCACGTTAAGCCCGGAAAACCTTCCAGAAAACTTCATTAAGTGAACAAACCACACTCCTTTAGCCTCAATGTCAGTTTGTATTATGTTCTATCTCCATAATATTCAATTTTCATGTTTTGACTTAGCTACAATATGTTATTTAGTCTATGTTGATATAGAAATAATTTGTTAATACAATATATATAAATACTAAGAAAATGTTTAACTTTATGCATGTTAGAAGTGGTTTGAAAACCTTAACAGCTACTTTTAAAAGGTCTCAGTTAATAAAATTACAATGGCCGAAACTCACCCTCAGAAAAATTCTAAAGCATAAACTTATTTATTCTTCATAGAAAAAAATGAAAACAGTGGGCTTATAAAAGTCACCTTAAACAAAACTGGGTGGTTTTTTAAGCATCACTAGTTCTATGAATTATCCATCCACTGTTTTAACATTTGTGTTTTGCATATGAATGTCTGCATATAAATAGTTCACAAGTCAAGTTGGAAAAAAAACAAATTTTTATTGTATAGAAATACATAATATATATATAAAAAAAAAACCCGAAGATGCTATTCTCTCATTTCCCCATCTTCCTCTTCTTCTTCAACACCTCTGATGTAAAGGACATTATTACACCTGTAAACAGAAAAAGTGGTCTATTTTCATGTTTCACTCCAACATGCATGATCATCACTGCTGTTTTCAGACTGGAACTGAACCTACAGCTCCACCCTCCTCTGTTGGGGCTACCCAGGTGTGTAAAAGCACACGGCAGGCACATGTTTCCACCACTGTCATCACACTTCTACAACCTATCAGAATATAGGTGGTTGCTCACACTGGAAAATGAATACAACAGAAATCCTTAGCAGCTAGACTCAACTAAAATCCAAATCCAAGGTCTGTAACCCAGGACACTGAAACAGGTTACAGCTAAGGGCCAGGAAATGTAATCAATAGCATAAAAACCTTGATGAACTGAAATCTCCCAATGAATTAGTAATTTCAAAGGCTTCTGAAGTCTAGATGTTGAATACTGTTAAATCTTTTGCCTTTTTTTCTTTAGTCCTTCAGTTTGGGGATTACTTTAATTTATTTAAGCAGACTGTTTCTGAGGTTCACCAGTAACTCCTCACACACAAATGCGCTTATTACCTTATTAGAACTTCACCCAGATGTCCAGACAATGCACCATCTATATATTCTTCTGTATTTGCAAGCTTTAGATAGAAAGAAAAATGTTAGTATGATTGCACAAGAAGAAAACAGGGTAGCATCCCTACTCCTGCTGAGAGCACATTAACTGAGACCATTTGACACCAACTCGGACTGTATCTGTAATTAGTAAGTAGAAGATTAGCTTTCTATTACTCTTGTATCTCTGGATCTTCTGTATTAAGACATGCATGGTACAAAACTAATATATAATAAAGCTTATTTCAAAGTCGTTAAGCCTTCTAGATGTTATTTCTAGCTGATATCAAAGTGGCTCAAAGAAAGCTTCCAATTTATAAGTTATAAATTTTCAATTTTCTAAAAATTCAATTCCAAAGAATCAGACATTAACTTTCTCAGAGCAAAACATTATGAACCATATTAAATTATTCAAATGGGTACACAAAAGCTATGAATAAAGTATATTAACCAACAACCAAATTGAAGAAATTTGAAAAATTCAAAACTGAAGATTTTGAAAATTTCATGTACTCCACGGGGGGGGGGGGGGGGAGAGAAATGATATATCAAGAATGATCTGTAGAATTATTTCAGTGAACTCTATTCTAATGTTTAGTCATCATTCTTATAATTAAAACAACAACAAAAAACCCACCACCAATGCCAGATGGAGTCACCAAAGGCAGAATAAGAGGACTCCTTCTTCCTAAGCAGGTGGTGGACAAGGAAAGAAAACAGGGAGATGTGGCATAAGGCATTTAAACCTGCTGGGTGTTTCTTCTCTAGAGGAAAACAAAACACCCAGATAACATGTCACCCCAAACACGTTTGTGAGACTTCAGTTTGTAAATGATTGCTATCAGAAGGACTATATTAAGAGCAACTGATTTTAGTTTATCACTTTCTGTGTATGAGTGTTCGTGCACCACGTGTGTGTCTGGCCTGGTGCCTGTGGAGGTCTAAAGAACATGGTGGACCCTCTCAGTTACAGAGGGTTGTGAGCCACCATGAGGTGCTAGGATTTGAACCCTGATTCTCTGGAAGAGCAGCTTAACCAGGGCTCTTAACCACTGAGCCATCTCTCCAGCAAGAACAACTAATTTTATAAGTATTTTTAGCATGTCCCCCAACGCTTAACTGACTTCTCAATTTCCTACAATAATGCCCCAAAGCTTCCTATTGTGTATTAAATCCACAGCCCTCACTACTGCTGAAAAGGTTCTACTCTGGCTTTCTGGACCCTGAACACACCAAGCATGCCCTGTGAAAAGGAAATCTGTATCTGCTCTTCTTTCCACCTGAGACGACTTTCCACTAGATGCTCGTGGTCTCTTCGGAGAAGCTGGACTATCTTGTTTATTACCCCACACACTATCCCCCTGCCTTTGCTTTACCGTCATACTGTGGATCACATCTAATTATCGAAGTGTGTTACATTACCACCTCTCACCACTGAAACAAGTTCAACAATAAGGACTCTGTTTTGCTCACTGTTACATTCACAGTACCAAACAGACAATAAGTTCTGGCTACTGAAGCAACTCGGAAACTGGGCTCACTCAGAGACACATTTTGTAACTTGGGGAAGCTACATTAACTGGAAAACCCAATATTAGGTGGTTTGTTTTTTTCAACAGGGTCTCAAGTATTCTCAGCTGGCTTCCAACTCTCCATGTAGTAGAGAATGATGCTTAATTCTGATCCCCCACCTCTGTTAACGAATTGATGGACTTAGAGGTGCTGGGGTGGAACAAAACTTACTTTGAAATCATACATTCTGTGGTTTTTCAGTGTATTTATAAAATTAAACTTTCACCACTAATTCCACACAGTATTTTTCACCATGATTTTCTATAGCCTTTGTGAATGACTCATTTCAAGAATTTTCTAGAACAAAACCACCTATACTCTTGTTAGCTGGATTTCTGGTTAAGCTATCCACATAAGTCATCTTTAAAACTGGGCAGAAATTGCACCTAAACCACCACACACACAAAAATAAAAAATAGGCGAAGATGTCAGACATGGTAGCACAAGCTTTTAATCTCAACACATGGGAGGCAGACAGGCATATCTCTATGAGTTTGAGACCAGCCCAGTCTACACAGCAAGTTCCAAGCTAGCCAGGGCTACACAATGAGACTTTGTCTTTAAAACTACAATAAAATAAAATAAAATACATATAAAAGTAGGCAAAGGATGTGAATACACATTTATCCAGACCACAAGCACATGGCTAATAACATAAATAAATAAAAGGTACTCAACGTCATCAGGAAAATGCAGATCAAAAGGATATACCCCATCTAATCCAAGAGAACAGTATTTCATACATAAAAAGAGGAGCGTCACAGAGAACAAGTGTCAGTGCACTGTGGGAAGGAACTCCAACCCCGCAGCTCTTCTGTACAACAGTATGACGGCTACTCACAACACTAAACATGGGCCAGCCTCCCACTCCTGCGTGGATACTCAACAGTTAAAAGCAGACTGGAAAAACGCTCGTTTGGGACAGACGAGTTGGCTCAGAGGTTAAGAACATTGGCTGCGCTTCCAGAGGACCTGGGTTCAATTCCCAGCACCCACATGGTGGCCCACAACATCTCTAACTCCTGTTCTAGGGTGTCCAGTGCCCTCTTCTTTGGGCACCAGGTACACACATGGTGTACATACACACACGTTGGTAAACATCCACACACATAAAAATAGAAATGAGTGGACAGGCGAGAATGGAGCTCAGCGGCAGATGGTCTGTGCAGCCGTACAAATCCCCGAGTTTGGTCTCCAGTGCTTAAAGAACTGGTGTGACAGACCATACAACAGCATGTTACTCAGTCCTGATAAGCAACAAACTCCAACATTTTACAACACCAGTGAATCCTGAATGAATAGTCACCCCAGAAAAAGGACAAAATACCTGTCTGAAGGCATTCATGGGGGTGTGGTTCCAGGACCTGTCAGAGAGCTGAGGATGTTTGAGCTCTTTATTTCAAATAGCCGAGTATTTGCATATAACCTAATGCCCTTCACATGATTTCTAGATTGCTCATAACCCAGTTCAGTTGTAATAAACATAGACAGCTGTTACACTGCATTGTTTATGGGGTTAACAAAGTCTGCACATCTTGAGCAGATAGAATTTTCACTTAGGTGTTTTGATCTGAAGTTAGCTGAATCTGTAATACATCCCACTTACATGAGGGACAGAGAACAGACAAACTCAGAGAGAGATAGCACTTACTAGGGACTGTATTAGAGGAGGCAGGTGATAGGGAATTTTTTATTGGGTACAGAGTTCCACTCGCGGACGATGAAGATGAAAACGTTCTGGGAATGAACAATGGTGATGGCCACACAGCAAGTGAATGTACTAATGCGCTGAATTATAGAGCTAAATGCTGAAATAGACATGTTTTAGGATATCCTTTATTACAAAGAAAAAGACTGGCTGAATTATTTACAGAAACTAAGGCACAGTCAATTATCAGTTCCTTTGCTTCTTCAGTCTTTTCTATGGAAAAATGCTTTCACTCAACTACTTTCATACTGTGTCTTTAAAATTCATTAAAGCAATTTAAAAATCTCCCTTAAAAAGAAAATCTTTGAAGAAGGAAGTGCTGGGAAGTTTTGCTTTCTGTAATCAATTAGTTTTCCCCTTGTGGTATTAGAAACCAAATGCCAAAGCTCTTCTTTCTTTGGCTGCCCCAGTCAAAGTCGATAAGGTCGATGACGGGGTTCTGGTTTAATACTGGGTCTTAGTAGCACCAAGTCCACTACAGTGTGAACCTCCTCCCTGGAGAATACTTTAATCCCAAATTCTGTGTTACATTCATCAATTTAACTGTGTATGCTCTTATCAGTCACAGTAAAGTGTAAGGAGTAAGGAGAAGCAACAGAAACCCAGTTTACAGCTCCTGTAACAACTTAGCTCGCCTACCCCTCCTCGGCTCCCCCACCCCTCCTCGGCTCCCCCGCCCCCCCCTCGGCTCACCTGCATATTCATGTAGCCATCCACAGAGACCAGGTAGCCCTTGTATTCCATCCCCCACTTGAGTTTCACCATCACTGGCTTTCCAGTCAGTCCATTGAGAAAAGGCTTGGGATTGAGGGGTAAACTCTGCACAGAAAAACAAAAGCAGTATCCAATCATTTTTTGCTTAGCTCGGCTTCTCCCACCCACGCTCTACTAAAACATCGATCCAGACTTCATGGTGTCCAGTCAGGGCAAACTCTCGTTCCCTGGCACTTTACAATTTGTTGGAGAGGGTCAGAGGCGTTAAGTACCCATTTAGTCAACTTCACATTCAACTCACTGAAACAAAACATAAATCATGCGATTAAACACTGAAGGTCAGGTGGGGCCGGGGCAAGAGCCCGGGTCCAGTTAGTGTGCTTGAGGGACTGGTTCTATCCCAAGCACTGTCCAACGACAAAAACCCTGAACACCCACATCACCACCCGCTAGCCGAGCTCTAAAGAAACCAAGCTAATGGTCTGAGGTGATCTCTGCAGACACAGAAACAATTCACTATCGTCGGTGAGTGCCAAAGGCAGAGCTAGAGAAAGATGCAGAGGGCAGGTCACATCTGGCAGGCTTTCACTGCGGGAGGCCCGGCTGGGTCTCCATTTTTTTATCAGGAGTAGTGCCTCTTAATGCAACCGCTATCAAGCTTAGTCTGCAAAAACAATGTTCCCTTTAAACTCAGGACCAACACTCCCAAATCTATGCATCCATCATTCCAAAGAAAACAAGAAACTTGGTTACTAAGTCTAAGATGAGGTGATCTTAGGGGGCATAAGGTCTAAAGCAGTGGCCAATTCCCACTGTCTGTAATTTATCATCCCCAAAGCAACTACTATTTTTAAGGCACCTGTCAAGTCATGTAATATCCTGGGTGAAAAGTGCTCCAGTGGTCTCCCACTGCACTTAAAGTAGACAGACTTCCTAAAAGGCGTTCAGAGACCCGGAAATCGAACCCAGGTCTTCCGCAAGAGCCAACACTCCAGCACGTGTCAGCTTGAAAGCGTTAATAAAGTCTGATTTCAAAACCGCTATCCCTGCATGCGGCTGTGAATTCCTGTCCATTTCAACTAGTCAACCTACTTTCTAGTTAGGGCTCATTGCGTGAAACCCTCTCCCACCCAGCTCTTTCTGTCACTTAGATTTCTGGTTAATCGCCACCTTTTGGTTCCTGCACAACGCTCTAACTTCCCAACGGCGCCTCACAGAGCATCCCTGTCAGCTTCCTGCTTAAGCCACCGCCCCCTCCCTGCAGTCGCTTATTTCTTGTTATCACTGGACTGTTGCCTACCCCCCACATCTGAGGCGGGGAAAAAAAAATGCAGGTTCTGCATTAGCCCTTTGCACCCCATATCCCTGGCGCCTAAGAACAAACGCCTTCAGTGAACGAAAGGGGGAGCCTGGGCCTCCTGTCCCAGAGGACAGACAATGAGCTGGGTGGGGGTTGTCAACATCAAGGCATGCAGCAAGCGCACGGTGGAGTGTGCTGAGCAGATAAAGGGAAAACTCGCTTCAGTTTACCCCATCCCTGGGGCTCCCCCCGCCCCCCCCCAAAAAAGGCTCCGGGTCCAACAAAACGGGACAAGGCGGCAGGGGAGCTCGGGGAAGGGAAAAGGCTGCGAACGCGCGCTGCAGGGCCTCCCCCTCCTCCATCCCCATCCCCGCCCGGAGCCGAGCGGAGAGCCGAGCCGGGCCGGGCCGAGCCGAGCGCCGAGCTCCGAGCTCCGAGCCGAGCCGAGCCGGGAGAAGGAGCGAGCGGCCGGCCGCGCGGCGCCCCATGCGGATGAATGGAAGGCGAGCACGCCCCCGCCAGGCCGCCCGCCCGCCCGCCCTCTCGCCCCGCACCGCTCATCCTCCTTACCATGGCGAACACCCGCGAGCGCTGCAACCCCACTAGCCGCCGACTCCGCCGCTGCTACCGACCCCTCGTGACCGGAACCGCCGCTGCCGCCGCCGCCGACCCGAACCGCTCGCTCAACGCGGAGAGAAATGGCCGCCAAAAAAAGAAAAAAAGAAAGGAGGCGTCACCTTCCGCCTCCCGCCTCGTTCTCTCGGCTTCGGCGATTGGACCCAAAGACGCGCTCGCTGATTGGAGGAGATGGCGGGCGCTGTCTCCTGGCAACCAGAGGTTCAAGGCGCGCGCTTGCGTCCAATCACTACGCGAGGTCTGAAGTGGGCGGGGCGGAGCGGTCCTGGTTTCGCTGCTGCGCTGCAAGGATGTTTCTCCCTGCACGGCGGACGTGGTTTAATTTAGCAATTGCAGGTTTACGGTGTCCTCCAGCTGGGAGAACGAGTTCGGGTTCTGGAGGTCCCTGCTCATCCTCCCACAGATCCAGCACTTGGGGAGCGCCCCTGGCGTGGTCCCCCTTGGCGCCACTGTACTCTGTTTTAGAATGCCCACTTTGACCGACGTGGGTCAGTACAGAAGTTGAGTCCGGGTCAGGTTGGGTCTGGGATGCTGTGTGGTGGCCTCTGTCGTTCTGATTTCTAAGCATACCCAGAACCGGAGGCCTGTTTACATGTGTTTGTAAATAAGGATGTAGGGGATTGACCTATCGAGGGTTAATCTCTCTGATGGAAAGAGATCGATCAGTTATCCCACTTAATTTTCCCGTAATCTCAATGTTCCCGATATGGGTTCTCTTGTGATATGAAACCCGTGTAAGAAGAGTACTTTTTTCTTTATCGGGAACCTAGCCCTATACGAACCTGAAGATTATTTTGCATGGATTCCCCAAGTAACTCAAGATTTCAGACTGGCCTAGACCTAAAGACGGTCAATTCTATTATTAAAGTATGCTGACAACGTGCTGGAGTGTTGTTGGCTCAGCCGCGGAGAGCACTTCTTGCTCTTGCAGAAGAACTGGGTTCGATTCCCAGTACCCACATGGTGATTCACAACCATCCAAAATTTCAGTTCCAGGGGATTCATCTCTCTCTTTTGACTTGTGTGGCCACTAGACCCGCCTGTGGTGCACATACCTACCTGCAAAATAAGATTTAAAAAAATCTAAAAAAAAGAAAAAGTATGCTGATAATCTCAGAGATGCATTTTGAGCAGAGAGCAATCTTAGCCCTGATTATTGCATGGTAATAGAAGAATAATTACTGGTCCTGGCACTCAGTATGCTCTAATTCTTAAGTCTGAATTGACAATTCCATAAATTTTATACTCAGAGCCCTGGATATACCTAGCTTGACTTCTAATTTAATTCTGGGAATACTGGGAATTGCACTCATAACAGACTCGTGTTAGTATTTTTCTCATTGTATTAAGCTATCTGCTGTAATCTGCAAAGGACTTAGAGTGCCTTGTGAAATACACAGGAGAAATAAGTAATAAAAGAAAAGACAGACTGCACATTTGTTTCCAAGCTTTATGGGGAAAACTGAAGTTACAAGATTGGCGGGTATGTGTGTGTGTGCCAGTTACAAGATTCAAATTTTCTGCAGTGCTTGTGTCTACAAGTCCAGTCACCCAGAAGAAGCAGTGATTTCAGTTCCTCTGAGCTGAAATTCTTCAGGATCTGAGCCCCATGATTGTTAGAAAACAGACTTCAAAGCAGTGGTTCTCAACCTGTGGGTCACGACCCCTCAGGAGTCGAATGACCCTTTCACGGGGGTCACCTAAGACCATCAGAAAACACAGCTATTTACACTATAATTCATAACAGTAGCAAAATGACAGTTATGAAGTAGCAACGAAATAATTTTACAGTTGGGGATCACCACGACGTGAGGAGCTGTATTGAAGGGTGGCAGCCTTAGGAAGGCTGAGAACCACTGCTCTAAGGAAACATTTAAATGAGAACACTCTGTTGGCAGGCGGAATCCCAGGGTGGTGAATGAGGCAGAAAGATAAGGGAGAGGAAGGAGACCCAAATGCTAGGGTTTATGCTTGTGAGCCTGTCAATTCTTCTTCACTGAGACGAAACTAGTTGCTTAGTCATATGGGGCCATATCTACGTGGGCTTTGTGGAAATAGGAGCTGGAGAACATCAGAGAGAGAGAGAGAGAGGGATTTGGGGATTGCCTGCCAGTCAGTCCCCACCTGTCTCTTAGTACCCTGTGGAGAGTCCCCACCTTCTTACTAAGGTAGGGATGAGAAAACCAGATCCCCGGCCTTACAGTTAACAGGAGTGTGGATGTAGCAGAAGGAGCCTCTGGTGCCAGTTTCCGGTGGAGGAACTTGAGACCACACTGAGTAAGTAGCTAGTCACACCAGAGGCAGCAGCCACCCCCTTTGTAACCAAGATCTAGGAGACAGATGAACCCGAGAAGATCTGGGTTGACAGATAAACTGTGTGTTTATGCGAAGGTTATAGAAAAAGCAGTGTGTGAGGGAGCAGCAGGTGGTACTAGAAACATGGCTGTAAGCTACTTAATAGGCTGTGTGTGGCTATTATCGAGGCTTCCCACCGCTGGGACAAAATCCTTACAAACACAGGGAAAGGTGGATTTGGGCTCACAACTTGCAGGGTCTCTGTCCACAGCCAGCTTTCCCATCACTTTAGGCCCTGTAGTAAGGCAGAACTTCACGGTGCCAAGAGTGTATGGTGAAAGACCCTGCTCACTGGATGCCAGCCATGAAACGGATAAAGGTGTTAGGAACAACACACACCTTTCAAAAGCATGTCACCAAGGATCTGCTTCCTGTCACTGGGCCCCTGGACCGGCATGATCACCAATGCCACCTCAAGTAGCAGCTTCTCACATTGGACCATCCTCCTCTTCGGACTCTGCCCCTCTTGCTCAAGCGTTGGGATCTCACACTGGGCTGGGCCACTGCCTGTGAGCCTACGCGGCTGTGAATTCATCATCGGCTAATCTGTTGGTAAGGTGAGCACCCTGGTAATCCAATCACCTCTCAGTGGTACCACCAGCTGGGTGTATGTGTGTGTGTGTGTGTGTGTGTTAGTACTAACTCGAGCCAGCTGCGTGTTTGAAGTGTGCCTCATGGTGGTTTTGACTTGCATGTCCCTAATGACTAACGCTGGTAGGCATCTCTTCTCATGTTTGTTGGCCATCGATAAATGGTTCTTTGAAGAAATACCTACTCAAGTCTTGCTTACATTGTTGTATGTTGTATCTTTGGAACCCTTAAAGATATTGGTAAATAAACTAAAAAATTAAGCCAGGTGATGGTGGCGCACGCCTTTAATCCCGGCAATCAGAAGGCAGCAGCAGGCAGATCTCTGTGAGTTTGAGGCCAGCCTGGTCTACAGAGCGAGATCTAGAACATGCTACATGGTGAAACCCTGTCTCAAAAGAATTAAAAAAAAAAAAAAACTCTCAAAATTAAAAAGTCATTTCACTTTTCATGGTCTCATTTTCTAGACCATGGTTTTCAATCTCATTGCTATTATTTTGGACCAAATAATTACTTATTTGTGTGTGTGTGTGTGTGTGTGTGTGTGTGTGTGTGTGTAATGTGTATAAGGATATATGTATGTGTGGATATAGTCCACACACATGGAGACAAGAAGAGGTCATTTGGGAATCCACTTTCACTCTCCTGTAAGGTGAATTGCTAGACGGTCTTATTAATAAAAACCTGCAGCCAGATATAGGGGTGAAAACCTGAGAGATCAGAGAAACAGGACAAGCCACAGCCAACCTTACCTCACCAGCACCTCAGTGTCTAAAAAGACCTACTTCCTGTCTACCCTCGCCCATATGCCTTTCTGTTCTGCATCTCACTTCCTCTCTCCGCCCAGCTACATCACTTCCTCTTTCTGCCCAGCTCTGTCACTTCCTGTCCATCTGTACAGAACTTTATGGTTAACTAGTGTTGGAATTTAAGGCGTGTGCCACCACGCCTAGCTTTGTTCCCAGTGTGGCCTTGAATTCACAGAGATCCAGACAGATCTCTGCCTCCCGAGTGATAGGATTAAAGGCATGTGCTAACACTGCCTGACCTCTATGTTTACTATAGTGGCTGGCTTTTCCCTCTGCTCCTCAGAAAAACTTTATTGAGTGGCACAAAAAAAGTATCACCACACTCTCCACCTATTCCCTTGAGATGGAGTCTCCCACTGAGCGTGCAGCTAGACTAGGGGCCAGCAAATTCCCGTGGGCCTGCAGTCTCCGCAGCCTGAGCTTACAGGCATGCGCAGTCATGCTTGGCTTTTTACATGGATGTTGGAGCTTTGTGGGGAGCCATCCCAGCCCCTCCCTGATGATTCTGATTGTGGCTTTGTCTTGGGCCCTGAGTAGCAGCGTTCTTAATCTCTCTCCAGCAGATGCAGGTAGCAACTTCTTTCCCTCTTGCAAAAAATGAAAATGCCAGATGTTCCCTAGGGGGTTCACTTGTCCCTGCTTGCAAACCACTGGAGATTGTTTATAAATAAAAACCCCGGGCCTGAATCACTTTGCTGGTAGTATTGCAGCTTTGAAACTATTTTCATTATTAAGCAAAAAGCAGGCACAATGTGCGTCTATTTTAATAGAGATTGTGTACACTCCCGATGCATCTCTGATTTTTGTTTGTTTTTGTTTTGTTTTCCGAGACAGTGTTTCTCTGTGTAGTTTTAGTGCTTATCCTGGAACACGCTCTGTAGAGCAGGCTGGCCTTGAACTCACAGAGATCTGCCTGCCTCTGTTTCCCAAGTGCTGGGATTAAAGGTGTGCGCCACTGCCGCCCGGCCCTGCTTTTTATTAGAATAAAATCGACTCAAAAAAGAAATACTGGTTGATTATCATGGGTCTGGTCAGAAGTTTTGAGCAGCGTTTAGATGATTTATAAAAGTGGGAGAACAAATTATCAGTAAATTATTTTTATTTTGTAAGGTACAGATTTGGTTTAGGAAGACTGCAGCTAATACAAACATTTGGGCATAAAGAGATCCGGAACCACTTAGCTGAAATGCCGACTTTGAATTCGGTTGGGTTCTTTGCCTTGTTTCCACAGGGGGGCAGTGCTGAGTCTGGAGCAGAATAACACTTGGCTCTCGGGAAGTCAATCATCCGACTGAGAACTCGCCCCGCACTTGAAACACCGCACAACACAACGCAAT